TGAAACTAACACATGCAGCAGAGGTAATTACCTAAATGTCTAGGTTAGAGATAAAATCACATGCTATCACTCAAGAAATATTCGAATAATACTTGATAAACAGTAGGGTATATTTACCCACACTCTTTTCTAAAACACCTCAATATTTCTTCAGTTTTAGTTTCCCAGTCACTCCATGCTAAAAAAGGAATATGACAATATAAGCATTTCAAAATTAAACACTTTTTAATAATAAATCCATATGGGGCATTTAAAATAAACCATAACAATGTTAATTTAAGGGGGGAAAAAATCTCTTTCTATGGGAGTGGGGATGGGAGGAATAGGTTCAATGATGTATGTCTTTTAGGGTACCACTTTGTTATTTAAATTAGGCTTCTGATAGCTACATGAAGAAGCCATGAGTTTAGGCAGGAAGTTAAGTCTCTCAGTTGGCTCTGGATTTGCAACAATCCTAAATTGCAGACGTACTGAGAACAGCACAGTGCACTTCATGTCCACTTGTCCTACTTCTGAGTGACAATGCAGACACCCAGACTCAAAAAAATGGTGTATATGCCAATGAAATCAGAAATGAAAGATTGTTAGACATGCTTTCTCTTGCTAGAGGTCCTCAAGCTACCCAGCCTTGTGCAGTCAGGAGCAATGCTGGGCCCAAGGAGTGTCAAGAAGTGGCAAATGCAAAAAATAACAATAAAAAATGGGGTCGATGAAGAGCCACCAAACAAAGGTGGTTAATATGCGCTGAGCTCATGCAAACAAAGAGGTAACACACCAGACCATGGGGATTGATGACAGCCGAGGGGTTTACTTCCACCTAGTTGATTTCCATAATTCATGCTTGGTGTTGGTTATAGTTTGTGATTTCAATCTTAGAAGTTCTACTCCTTTTAAAGGGTCACAAACTACTGAACCATACAATATTGGTGTGCAGAGGCACTTGGAAGAGAATCTAGTATTAAAGATTATTTTTTTTCTGTCTCAGATGATGTGACAGAGGCCCAGAGAGAGAAGGGTCTCAACTAAGCACAGCAAATGAGTGACAGAGCCAGGCCTGACTCCAGGTTCCATTTCTTCTATTTAATAAATACTGGCATTTCTTCTCCCCAGTTCTCTCGGACTTTTAGAAGCAGTGATAGGCCTACTCTTCAAAACACCTCCCCCCATACATGCACTATGTATGCTTTAAAATAGATACCATATCACATCACCCCTTTGCTTCAATGGTAACTCATCACATACAAGATAAAATCCCAGACTTTTTAAACCTCTGGATTTTAAGATTGTACATGATCTGTCCCTGACTACCATACTGACCTTTTGACCCTACTTTCCTTGCTCACATCACTCCTACCCATCTTTCTGTTCTTTAAGTCCATCTACCTTGCTTCAACCTCAGGACCTTTGCATTTGATGTTCTCTCAATTTACTATCCTTTACAGCATTGGTTCTTTCTTATCATATGGGTCTCAGCTATAATGGCACCTCTTCAGAAAAACCTTCCTTGACCACCCAGTCTAAATCACCCCACCTTCCTACAGTCACTTTCTAATTACAGTACCCTGTTCACTTTCTCCAAGCACTTTGAAATCATGGTGTTCATTTGTTACTTTACATGTTGTCTTCTCCCACTGAAAAGGAAATTCCAAGACAGCAAGGATCTCATTTGTAATCTTCATGAGCATCACGTATTCACAGTATTTAAAATTGTGCCTACTACATAGAAAGTCTTCAATAATCATTTGCTAGGCAGATGAATGAATGAATGAGTACCACAACAGCCACCTCCCATGATGTATATGATAACCTCTATTAATTGGAATATTTAACTAACCCAATTAGAGTAGCTCCTTCCTAAGCATATCAGAAAACAGAATTTCCAACACACTGATCAGTGTTACAGCTGCCCCAATGGAATCATTGAAACAGCCAACTGATCAGGCCTAGGTAGAAAGCAAGAAAAACAATGTAACTTGTGTCCACTGGAAACTGACCACAGGATACAGCTGACTTACAACAACCCATTTACCCTTTCCTTTGGGTTCTTTGGGGTGGAATCTATTTCCTTTGGGGTGGAATCTGTTTATTTTCCCCTAAGGTGCTGAAAGCATGTTCCTTTACTCTTCCCTTCCTCCATGGAGCCAATGAATTTGCTAAGGTGATAGGATCTCCCTCCCTTTGCTCTTCCTTCAGGGTAAAAGATAAAGCTTTTTCCCTCCATGGAAATGCAGAGTCACTTCTTTCCCAGAGCTTATAACTGACTCACAGAATACTGCAGCCAGAAAAAGTGTTCTTATTAAAATGTTCCCTACATTACATCAAAAGCCCCTTCATTCTAAGATTGTGTTTTTTCTTAAATTGATATATCTAGGTATTATTTCTCAGCCAATATTGTTAATATCATCATATGTTCATGTGAAAGAAAATACATGAACTATTAATCTGTTTCCCAATTCCTGCTAAGTTATACATTTACCGTTTAGGGGAGTATTTAAGCTTTCTTCTGACAAAAGACTTTTAGAGTGTATCACCCCCAAACTGGAAGACAATCACTAGTCAAAAACCAGCAGTTATTTTTGCTTCCTACTTACATTTTGCCCTTCATAAAAATTCATCCCTAGGGAGCTGACAAATAAAGATAAATTACCAGTCGAGCATTCTAACTAACAAGGCACTGTAGTCACCTAAATGAATCTCAGAACGCACACTTTGCTACGTTAGCTAAAATTTCTCCTCTCTTTGTCTTCTACTCCCTGACCTAGAATTACATAATACCAAGAAAAGTTTATAAAATCCAGGTTCATTGTCATGCTCACTTTACTTTTGGACTTAATGATATTCCTTGCCTGGAAAAGCGATTGCTTTATGCCTGGAAAAGTCTGCGATGCAAATCCTGCTACACCTTCTGTACCTGACAGACAGAAATTTCCTCTTTTCCATATAAAACAAATCATATATATGGCTTTCAATTGATTCTAGACAATGTTATAGGGTATGACCAAATCACATGTTCCCCTAATTTATTTTATGGATTGATATTATTAATTACAGAAATATTTACCTATTTACAACAGGAATAACAAAACTGACACTTACTGAGTCTTTATTATGTGTTAAAAGGTCTTCAAAGAGCTTTATATGCAATATAACATTTAATCTTCATAGTGATCCTATAGGTGGATTTTTTTTTAATATTTTATTATTTATTTGAGAGCACGAGAGAAAGTTGGGGGAGGGCCACAGGAAGAAGAGAGAATCTTTCAAGCCACTCACTGCTGAGCATGGAGCCTAATGCAGGGCTCAGTCTCATGACCCCAAGATCATGACCTGAGCCAAAATGAAGAGTCAGACACTTAAACAACTGTGCAACCCAGGCTCCTCACAATGTGGATACTTTACCAGTGTGACGACAAACACACTAAGAACAAGACTTTTGAGAGACAGATTGCCTAAGTTCATATCCCAACACTGACACTTACCTATGACATGACCCTATATAACCTCTTTAGGCCTCAGTTTCTTAACCTGTAAAATGGAAATTTTAGTAGCTATAAACCTGAGTGTTTTTCTGAGTAGTAAATTATTAAAAAAAAAAAAAAAAAGATATAACAGGCTTTAAAGAGTTAATGCAGAGAACATTACACTAGAATTTTCCAAACTTTGGTCATTTTTATACCAGGTACAGAATTTGGGCCATACCCAAATGTACCATTTTATTATTAAATAAATGTTTTTTATTTAATAGTGCCCCTTTGCATGCAATTGTGATACTATCTAGAGTTAGGTTAAATTTCAAAAGTTAAGGGAAAAATCTTCTACAAAACAAGGTCTCCTTCAGACACCAGCCACAAGCTCCAGGGCTCTCAGACAAACTGAGGGGGGTCCCCATTTCCTCTTCAAGTTGATCATTTGCTAGAATGATTCACAGAACTCAGCAAAGTTCTCTATTTATGGTCACAGTTCTACTATAAAGAATTGGGACCAGCTAAATGCACAGACACATAGAACAAGATCTAGGAGAATCCCAAACACAAAATTTCTATGTTCTCAGGATGTACATTACTGTGTATCACCAACCAGGAAATTCAGCCAGAGCTCGGTGTCTTGAGTTGTTCCTTTGTTTTTTGTTTTTGTTTTTTTTTTTTAAGATTTCATTTATTTATTTGACAGAGAGAGAAAACACAAGCGGGAGAGTGGGAGAGGGAGAAGCAGACTCCCCACTGAGCAGGAAACCCCATGTAGGGCTTAATTCTAGGAGCCCAGGCTCATGAACTGAGCCAAAGGCAGACACTTAACAGACTGAGCCACACACATGCCCCATTGTGTCTCCAGTTTTTATCGGGGTTTTATTGCACAGCCATGAGCAACTCCACTGGTCACATGACTACACTTAATCTACAACCTCTCCAGAGGTTGGGTTGATGTCTCTTGGCTTAGAGTCCTGATCTTTAAATCACATGGTTGATTTTTGGTTTTTATAGCATGGCTGGCACCTATCCTGAAACTATCTAAGTGTCCATCATGAGCCATTCTGTAGCACAAACTCTGAAAAACCCGCAAAGAAAAACAAAAACACTTCTATCACTTGGTGACTCCAAGGATTAAGAAGTTACCTCCAGGGAACCAGAAACAAAGGCCAGCCAAGTTCTTTATTACAAAACACTTTTTCATCAGCTAATTTTTTGCATTAAACAAATGTATCATCATTGTAAGCAATAACAATGTAATCACAGGTTTGAAGTGTTAGTCATACCTTTTCTAATATAAATTAAGAGAGATGAGTAACTTAAAATTTAAAATGTTTATCTGCCTGTCATCCCAAATCATCTCATGTCACTATTTATATGTTTATTTTTAAGTTAAGTTTGTTATCTTATTTCCCCAACAAGCCCATATTTTTTATTTTATGTGTTAGACATGTTCCATATGAGTAAAGTCTGATGTGTGAGCTCTGAGGAACTGTCAGTCACTTTGTCCCTTCTTTTCATTTTACAGATGAGGAAACTGAGACCCAGCACAGGGAAATGACACATTCAAGTTCACACAGGTAGGATTCCATCTCAGTCTTTTGATCTCCAGTTCAGGGGTCCTTTTACTACTTTAACTGGGCTCCTTCCCCAGTTTGGAATCACTCTAAGACAGAAAGGTAAGGGTGAGTCTGGCATGCTTTGTACTAAATGCCATATGGAAGGTGCAATGTACCAAGTGCTAAGGATGGTGACTTGGGCTGACCAGGTCTCCAATACGTGAACCAAGTTAAAGTCAGGCTTTGTATCAGTCTTTATAGCCACCAACTGCAGGTTTATTGCCACTCAGGGCCTGATTGCTGTTTTTTTCCCTGATATTTAGTGGACATTTTCTTGTTATAGCCTCACTCCAGCCTATAGGCATGGGGAAAACATCTGCAATATCTCCTATTCATCTATTTCAACAACAATCTTAAAAAATAATAAACACAGTGTGGGTGGGTGGGTGGGTCAATGTGAACATGAAACTGAAGAAAAGCTGGCATAAAGAACTTGTGTCTAAAAAACAAAAGGGCCAGCATCTTGGAACTTTCCTCAAGCTTGCTAAACAACTCCACTCCGCGCAACAATGTTATTTGATATTTGCCTAATGGGAATGATAAAGTGAGGGCAGAGACAGGCATCTATTTGTAAAATTCCACATTGATTTTTTCCCCCTTATATATGCACCCAGACACAGTGGTGGCAAATGATCTTTTAAAAATTTAAAAATACATTAAATAGATGAATGAGCCTCCAATAAATGTGTATGTGAAGAGTTCTTTACTTGACACAGCTTTCTGCCACGAAAACTAAATGCATTCCCGGAACACGCTACAAGTAATCTCTTGACAGCTACTATTTTGGACACTGATATTTTATACCCGTGTTTAAAGTGAACTCTGATATGTTTTGACTCTTTGTTCTTTTTCTTTTTTGTTCACCCAGTATCTAAATCCTGCAATATTCCTTTGCAAAATCTGTCCTTGCCTCTCCTCTTCTCATCACACCACCCAGGCTTTTTTTTTTTTTTTTTTTTTTTTTTTTTTACTTTGTTTTGGGATAATGGAAGAGAATTCTGAGCTGTTCTTTCTGGATCCAGGGCCTCCTTACCAAACATTTCTGTGTGCAGTGATGTTCTTCATGAATCCTCGAGGTCACTAGGTCACGGCCCTTGCTGGAAAGGAAGTGTAAGTGGTGCGAGGGCTCAGGCTCCAGAACTGATTTCAAATCCTGACTCCTACACTCATTAGCTCTGGAATTTGGGGCACATGAATTTATCTTTCTGAACCACAGTTTACATATCTGCAAAAGGGGGATGAACTACATACCTCATAAGGTTATTATGAGAATGAAAGGAAACAATCCATGTGAAGTGTTCAGCACCATGTCTGGAGTGTTGTAAATGTCCACTAAGTAGTAACTATAAACACTATTATTATCTATTGAACCAACCTTAGACTTTTTTAACCATATTGCAAAATTCTCCCAAAATGAAGCCAGCTCCTATGTCTCCATGTTTTTGCTATTTCTTTCTTAAGCAATGTAACCAATGAATGATTCAGTCCAATCCTGAAAAGGCTGAAAGTCTGAACAATCTGTCCCCAAGGAACTATGCTGCTGGTAACAAGGCCACGCAAGGCACCCTGATATACTATATACCTCCCATAGATAGATGATAGATAGATAGATAGATAGATATAGATATATAGAGATATATAGATATAGATATATAGAGATATATAGAGATATAGATATTCATTCCCAGAGATAAGATTCACTTTACAAATGACATATAAGAGTTGTTTCAGTTTGGTTTTTTGGTCTGAAGTACAGAACTCAGTCAAAGATAGATTAGACCAGTGTTTCCTACTCTCCATCTGAAAATTTAAGTGAAAGGACAAGATTGTTCCTGATGAAGAGGAAACTTTCAGTTTCAAGTAATAAGAACCCAATTCAAAATAGCTTTAGAAAAGAAAAACAAAAACAAAAAACAAAGAAACAAAAAGAAACAACAACATCAAAAAACAAACCACAGGGATTCACTGGCTAATTAAAAATTTGATTATTGTGCTAAACTCAACCAAATCTAGCTCTAATGATACCAAGAACTTGTCTCTTTCCATTCTTTGTCTCTGTTCTTAGAATTAGCTTCATCCCAGGCAGCTCTACCTGCCTGGTATCCTGATGATCTCCAACAGATCCAATCTTACCTTCTATCATCCTAACAACTAGCAAAGTAAGAGTTTCTCCTTCCCAGAACTGATGCCCACTGGTTTGACTAGCTTGTCTTGAGTCCCAAGCCCTCTGCAAACTATTCATTGTATTTGGGAGAGGTGAGAGTCCTTGACTGATAGTCTCCTCCTAATTGAATGCAAATGAGCAAAGGATAGTTCCCAAAGGAAAAACTAGGGCTGTTTCCGATAAAGGAGAAATCTGTACTGGTTAGACAAAGACAGAAGATGTTTATTAGGCCATCCAAAGCTCTTTTTAAACTCTGTAGCTACCTTTGGAACCTTTTAGAAGCTTCAAGACTGGGCCAGTTCCATTGACAAATCCTTAGGGCACACTTCCCTCTGCAGTTAGAGTCTGGTTTACACAATACGTCCCATGGGTAAGTTGCTCCTGTCTAAGTGACACATCTTCCTTGTTTGTCTTTGAAGCATTCCTGTTGGGCTTCTCAGCTTCTTGAGAAGGTGTTCTGTTAAAGCTAGATTTTATAGGTCACTGGATCTGGCTGGTCTAAGGCCAAATGGAAGAGGATAATACTTAATTCGAGTTTGAGTTCTACTATGATCGAATCAAATGTTCCCTCTCTTGACATCAGAAGGCTCCTTTTGTTTCCTTCTGTTTATTTCAGCCAGTCCATCATCAATATTTAGTAATTGCCTATATGGGCCAGACATCAGACTAGGCACAGATGCCACAGAGTTTGAATTCAAAGTCCCTTTTCAGGGCGATCCTGGGTCCAGTGAGAAGCTGATGTGGTCATGTGTAATAAGCATTGCAATGATGGTGTTACAAGGTACTGAATACAGAGAAGAAATAGACATGAGGTCAGCAAAGCTTTCCTAAAAAGATGAGATCTGGAGTACTGGAGACGAAGACTGAGTTTGCTGGGAGAGACAGAGGAGTGGCATCCCAGGGTGGGGTAAAGTAAAGGCATAGGAGTAGAAACCAAGAGGTTTTAAAGATCTGCAAGTGGAGTGGTAGGGGAAGGCCAGGGTTCTGGAAGTGACGGTGGGAACAGGGATGAAATCAGAGAGGTGGATGAGTAGAGTAGAGGTGTAGAGGCACCACGTACATTCCTCTTCAAGGAAGGTCTTGCTTTTTGGCTACAGGGTGGACAGTCTGCAGCTAAACTCCAGGTGTCCGCATTTCAGGGTAGGCTCAGCCGCAGAAAGTGGTTTGTCTAAGGTTTTGTTCCTGAGGCAGCCTGCAGGGTCTATAGGCTTGGTGATTTGGGCCCAACAGGGGACACTCTGATATACAGAACTCCTCCAGAGCCCCCAAAAGATAGGTTAACCGAGGCCATGTCAGCCCTGCATCACAGCTCGACCTGTTTTCTTCAACACTTCTTCCTCTCCTCCTTTTTATTGGCAGTGCTCTCCAGTAAATATCTGGAACTCCAAACTCCATCTCACTTCAGCTTTTTGAGAGCTCAACCTAGAGACCAGCATGGATCCAACTGCAATAAGCTTTGTATATGAAGCTGAGCCTGTTACCTGTACTCAAGCATTTCATAAGGAGAACCAATACATAAAATGTGCACTCTAAATTCTCAGTATCTCCCAAAGCCTGAAATAAACATTCTGCCTTGTTACAAAGCTGGGAAAACAAAGAATAAAAATGACTCTATTATATGTGTTCTACAAACATTCCTGAGTGCCTATTCAGTGTAAGAAACTGTCTGAGGCATCAGAGACAAAAAAAATAAAACATGGCCCATAGAAAACTTCTTGCAGATAGCCTCTGAGAAGTTCCAGGCTGGTTAGAAAGGTCACGTGAGCCAAGTGGGCAAGGTGAAAATGAAGATCTAAAACACATTATTGGGGGGGGCCACCTGAGTGGCTCAGTGGGTTAAAGCCTCTGCCTTCGGCTCAGGTCATGGTCCCAGGGTGCTGGGATCAAGCCCTGCACTGGGCTCTCCGCTCAGCGGGGAGCCTGCTTCCCCCTCTCTCTCTGCCTGCCTCTCTGCCTACTTGTGATCTCTGTCTGTCAAATAAATAAAATCTTAAAAAAAATAAAATAAAATAAAACACATTATTAGGGGCACCTGGGTGGCTCAGTGGTTAAGCGACTGCCTTCAGCTCAGGTCATAATCCCTGGGGTCCTGGGATGGAGCCCCATGTCAGGCTCCCTGCTCAATGGGGGGCCTGCTTCTCCATCTCCCCCTGCCCCTCCCTCTGCTCATGCTCTTGTGCTTTCTTGTGCATGCTCTCTCAAATAAATAAGTAAAATCTTTAAAAAAAAAATAAAAATAAAGACATTATTGTAGGATGTGCTTTGTATTAGTTTCCTAGGGCTGCTATAACAAAGTACAAACGGGGTGGCTTTAAGCAACAGATATTTATTCTCTCACAATTCTGGAGCCCAGAAGTCCAAATTAATGTTCAGCAGGGCCATGTTCCTTCTGAAGGCTCCAGGGAAGCATGTGTCCTTGACTTTTTCCAGCCCCCGGTATTGTTGGCAATCCTTGGCATTGGGGGCTTTGTCTCTACCCTCACATGGTGTTCTCCCTGTATGTCTGTGTCTCTGTTTTCTCTTCTCATGTGTAGAACAAGAACAAGAGCAGTGCGTGCTCACTGAGATGCCTCTCTCTTTTTCTTCCAGGCACCCTCCCCACCAATATTATACATGGTCACTTGACTTTCTGTGGTTGGTTCTAGCAGAAATGATATATGTCATTCCAGTGCTGAAGTACTGAAAAGTTAGCATCCCATTCTCCTGGCTCTCACCCTTACCATGGCTAGCCCTAAAGGCTTGTGCTGAGATGAAAGCATCATCCTCCACCAGCCTACCTTCCTGAATGATAGGGATAACCAAATATTCCTGTTTATCTGCTGGAGAAATGTAGTGTGAACAAGAAGATCTTTGTTCCATTTAGCCACTGGGATTTTGGTATTATTTGCTACTATAGCATAACCTACCCTGTCCTGACCTACCCTATCCTGATAGGGTTTACCTCATGGGACTGTTATGAGGCTTAAATAAGGTAAAGTATATAAAGTATTCAGCATGATGCCTGACACATAAGAAGCCTCATTAGCGCTGTTTTATTCAGTCTAAGGGAGAGGGTATGTTGCAGCATTTACACAGCAAAACTTTTGTGAGGTCCATTCTCCGTCAATGGTACTGAAAAAAAAAAAAAAACAACCCTCAGTTACTATATTCTATCTCCATTGGTTACATTTATTGAATGCTTATTATGTGCCAAGTACTGTTCTAATGGCTTTATACGCATTAAGTCATTTAATCCTACAACTACCAGAGGAGATAGGTACTAGGATTATTCTTTTTCACGGGTAGGGAAATTAAAGCACAGCAAGGTTGAATAATGTGCCCAAAGTCATAAAGCCAGGAGACGGCAAATCAGTAGTTGTACTCACGCAATCCAGCCCCAGCCTGAGCCCTGCCCTAGACTCACATTCTAACACAAGCAAGTACAAAGAACAGAGCATTTCTGAGAACTTTCCAGGACTATCTTGGAAGGGAATGCAGAAGTAGAGGAAGAAGCATCTTGCTTTCAAGATGCCCCAGAGTCAAATTACCCATTATCCCAGGAGAGTAACAAAATGCTTTTAGGTCTCATCTGCTAAACATAGGCGAGCTGGATACAAAACATTTGCAACCTAGGGACGTCGTTTTGCAGTGCCATCATGAACAGACCAACACATTTGGTTTTAGCTAGACATTTACAAACAAGCAGGGCACACCGCCTTGAGGCTGAGCACACACATAGGAGTGACAGATGCTGCCCAAGAAGGCCCTTGTTCTTCTCCAAGGCTGCAGGAGAGAAGGAATGATGGAGAATTCCTCTGGAACTTAGAAATGATGGATTTATAACAGCCCCCTCAAACTGATTCCATCTGAGTCTATGTGGGTTTGGCCCTTGTCCCTGCCTTTCATGAAAAGCCCCGGAATGGCAGGTAATGAAAGCACAAAGCCATTTCCAGAGCCAAGTTCTATTTGCTGAAATTACCCCAGGATCTTGGAGTCAGAAGACCGGATGCATATTTTACGTGCTATGGTTTCCAGGGAGAAACATTTAGAATGGCCCATCTGTATGAGTTTCCTAGGGCTGCCGTAGCAAAGTACCACAGACTAGGTGGTTTAAAAAAACAGAAATTTATTTTCTCACAATTCTGGAAGCCAGAAGTCTAAAATCAAGACGTCAGCAGAATTGGTTTCTTCTGAGGTCTCTCTTCACGGCTAGCAGATGGTGACCTTCTCACTGTATCTTCATGTGGTTTTTCCTCTGTATCGGTCTGTGCCCTAATCTCTCATTTTAATTTGGTTACCTTTTTAAATATATATATATTTTTTAAGATTTTATTTATTTATTTGACAGACAGAGATCACAAGTAGGCAGAGAGGCAGGCAGAGAGAGAGAGGGAGAAGCAGGCTTCCTGCTGAGCAGAGAGCCCGACGCGGGGCTCGATCCCAGGACCCCGGGATCACGACCCGAGCCAAAGGCAGAGGCTTTAACCCACTGAGCCACCCAGGCGCCCCAACCTTTTTAAATATCTTAATGCATTTTGAGGTTCTAGGGGTTAGGACTTCAACAGATGAATTTGGGGGAAACAACTCAGCTCATAATATCATCCAGTCCAGAAAGTATAGATCTTAAAAAAAAATAAAGAGGGGTGCGTTAGTGGCTCAGTGGGTTAAAGCCTCTGCCTTCAGCTCAGGTCATGATCCCAGGGTCCTGGGATTGAGCCCTGCATCGGGCTCTCTGCTCAGTGGGGAACCTGCTTCCCACTCTCTCTTTGTCTGCCTGCCTCTCTGCCTACTTGTGATCTCTCTCTGTCAAATAAATAAATAAAAATCTTTTAAAAAAATAAATAAAAAGTTCCACAACCTCTTTTTTTTTTTTAACCATGCAACTTAAATTTTATTTTACTTTATTTTTTTTCAGTGTTCCAAAATTCATTGTTTATGCTCCACAACCTCTTAAGTAAGGGAAATGGTTCTGGATTATTCTGGATGGGGGATTATTCCTTAAATTTAGCAGATAGTTTTTGTTTTGTTCAATGAGCTATTCTTTCTTATTTATTGTGAGAAAAGAGCGAATTTGTGGAAAGGTCACTTTGTGAAAGTGACTTTGTGGTCAGAACCAAAGAAAGGTGGCTACCAGCTAGTCATACTGAACATATATGTTCATATATGAAGAATTTCATATTCAATAACATCTTATATTTCTGCATAGCACTTCACAGTTTCAATTACTTTTATATCAATTATCTCTATCTTCACATCATGTTACAGGTTAGGACATGAAGTTTCCCCAGAAACATGAAGAAACTTACTTCACATCACAGAGCTACATGGAGACAAGCTGGGTGGGGGCAAGGATACTAGTATCTGGAATCCTAGTAGAACTCAATAATTCAATAAGCACTAGTATTTGTTTTCTAGAATTTTGTTTTATTATTAAATAGCCAGTGCAATTAGAGGCTTATAGATACAATAATAGATGGAGTAATGCCTTCAAATAAGAGAAATTTTTCTTTCATAGTAATATTTTTTTTCCAGAAAGAGTTATTTGGTCATTCTAGGCTAGGATTTCTTAACCTCAGCATTTTTGACACTCTGGACCAAATATTTCATTGTTGGTGAGAGCTGTCCTGTGCATTTTAGAATGTTTAGGAGAATCTTTGGCCTCTAAGCACTAGTGCCTCAGCACAAACCCACTCCCACACCAGCTGTGACAAACCACAATGTCTCCAGATATTGCCAAATGACCATTAGGGCCCCAAATCACCAATGGTTGAGAACAAATATTCTAAGTCAAAAGAGAAGTTGTCCCTGCAAATATATAAAAAGGATACATGATTAAGGTGCCTGAGTGGCTCAGTCAGTTGAGTGCATGACTCTTGAACTCAGCTCAGATCTTGATCTCAAGGTCATGAATTCAAGCTCCATGGAGCCTACTTAAAAAAAAAAAAAAAAAGCAAGTATACATGATTAACATGTACTCTTACAAACCAACCTAACCATTGTATTTATACCTCAACTTAGGTTCAGTATTCTATTCACTCTTCTCTGTCCAATAACCACTAAAAGGAGAAAGCAACTTCTGAGTTGAACACTTAACTTCTATGCCCAGTTGCCTCATCTGTGGTCTTTGGATCTGCTCATTTCTTGAGTGCTTACAATTCTTGAACCTGATACTCATTTTGGTTCAGTAACACAGGAAGGTTTGAATTCTTAATTGAAAATTATTTAGCAGTGGAACTTATATCAGCCACTCAAATATAATATATATATTTAAAGGTGGGGCCTAAATACTTAACCCTAAGTGTCAAAGTCTGTTTATCTCAGAAAATAGGTCCTATTGTATACTAATGCACCACTCAAAGAAATCAACAACTGAGAACATTTTCAAAACAAGAGCAAGGTAGAGCTGCAAGGTAAAGAGAGAATAATTTGCCCTTGCAAGATTGACCATTAAAGCATATCATAAAATTAAGTATTATATCATGATTATATATTATCATATATTGATTATATTATATATATTATCAAATATATAATGAATATATATTACCATATATAATGGCATATGGTAGTGGCACAAGAAGAGCCAAAGAACTGAATGGAATAGGATGCACAATAATCATACTATAGTATATTAAAGCATTTAATAGAAATAA